CTTGCAACGCCGGCCGAGTCTCCAGCACCCGAGGTCCGGGGACTGGCAGGGCCTCTCCGCGCCGCACCAGCAGCGGCCCGACTCGCGGTCCGAGCCCGGGCCCCGGCGAGGTGCCAAGCAGCGCCCAGCCCAGCGCCGGAGGCCGCCGCACGGGCCGTGCCCGCACCCACGCCCCAGGGCCCAGAGCAAGGAGCCGCAGCAGCGAGAGGCTAACCAGCAGCTCCGGGGGCCCGGGACCCTGCTCCTCGGTCCCTGCGCCCGGCCCCTCCAGGGCCGCCACTAGCAGCGCCGGCCCTGCAGGGCTCTCCCCTGCAGGCCGCAGGGCCAGCACCAGTCCCAGTCCCGCTGCAGGCCACGGGCCCCCGGGAGGCAGCAGCACCGCCAACGGGGGTGTCTCGGTCGGGAAGGGCTCCAGGACCCGCAAGACTGCCAGCGCCATGGTGACAGACCAACGAGGAAGCCGTTGGAGCGCGGCTTCCGGGCCAGCGCCGCACGCGGCTTCCGCTTCCGTCCGGGGAGGCGCGAGAAGAGTAGGAGGGGCGGCGGGTTCCTGGAGCGTCCTCCTGGAGGGTGAGCCCCGGCTGGGATTGACGGGTTGGTGCCTCTGTGGCAGTAACACATTCACTGCCGTTGCGTAGTCCTTTGAGACCGTGTTTGCAGGGATCTGCCTGCCGCGCCTGCTAGGGATTAACGTGCTCTTCTGCCACGCACTTAGCAGTTAATTGAATGATCAGCGAACTTCCTGCGTGCCCAGGACCAACTTGGCCCAGTGCTAGGAGCTATGGGTGGAGTGTTTAGGAAGGATTCCACTACTCTGTGGAACTCCTACACTTTCCAGTGTGGAACTATAGGCACTGGGATTTGGGTATTGTGGGGAAGGTTACAGGAGGGAGTGGTAGGATAAAACGGTCTCAGTGCTTATGGGTATGTAGTGGCTGCTGGCTGGATTACTACATGTGATTCATGTAGCCCTGGAGTACTTGGTGCTGCCACATCTGTTTCAACACATCCTACACAAAACCCACGTTCCGGTGTTTCTTGTCCTGTTCCTTCTACTCCCAACAAACTTGAAGTGAAGACAAAGCAACTTTGCTTTTTCATTCCTCCAAAACCGGTTGCTCTCCCTTCTGCTCCTCACCCCCCCCCCCCCCCCCCCCCCATCAGTCCTTGCAGACTGGAGGCCCATGTCCTGTTTCTACCCTGGAGGAATGGGAAGCAGAGCAGGAGGAAGAGAGGTGTTTAAGGCTTCAGTCATGAGCACCCAACCAACAGCTTGCTTCCCAACAAGATTCCATCCTTGTCTCCACCTCCACTGCTCTGTGCAAGTCACTTGGACACTAGTAGGCCACACTTCAAGTTATTAACAATATATTTGCACTTAGAATCAATGGATTGGTTGGTGGTAATCTGCTTTTTAAAAATTATTATTGTTACTTTTTAATGTTTATTTTTGAGAGAAAGAGAGTGTGAGCAAGGGAGGTATGGAGAGAAGGGGTGGGGTGGGGACAGGATCCGAAGCAGGATCCTTGCTGACAGCAGAGAGCCCGAGCCCCAGATCAGGGCAGAGAGAGAGGAAGAGAGAGAATACCAAGCAGGCTCCTCACCACCAGTACAGAGCCCAATGTGGGGCTCAAACTCACCAACCGTGAGATTATGACCTGAGCCAAAGTCGGATGCTCAACCAACTGAGCCACCCAGTGCCTAGGTGGTAATTTACTCTTTCTGGACCTTGTATTCTCCTCCAACCACTGCACAACTTACTTCTTTCCTTCACAGATGAAGAGCTTGAGGCAGCCCTCTACTTTGTACATTAGGCATTCCTGAAAATCTGAGAGTTGAATATTAGGTTTATATGTTATAAGGTATTTCTATTCCTAGTGAGACAAAATATTTTTTATTTATTTATTTACTTATTTATTTATTTATTTAATGTTTTTATTTATTTTTGAGACAGAGACAGAGCATGAGCAGGGGAGGGGCAGAGAGAGAGGGAGACACAGAATCTGAAACAGGCTCCAGGCTCTGAGCTATCAGCACAGAGCCCGACGCGGGGCTCGAATTCACAGACTGTGAGATCATGACCTGAGCCGAAGTCGGATGCTCAACCAACTGAGCCACCCAGGCACCCCGACAAAATATTTTTAAATGATTATAGTTCCTGGAGGTACTTCTAGTCTTAAACTTGAAATTGCCCAGTTCCACAATTTTTTTTTTTTTTTTTTTAACTAATCTGCCCAACATGAGTCTTGAACTCATGATCTCAAGATCAAGAGTCATTGGGGCACCTGGGTGGCTCAGTTGGTTAAGTGTCTGACTTGAAACAGGTCATGATCATACGGTTCTGGTTCAAGCCCCATTGGGCTCTGCACAGTGAAGTTGCAGGAGCCTGCTTAGTGATGCTCTCTCCCTTTGTCTCCGCCTCTTCCCCACTTGTGCTCGCTTGCTCTCTCTCTCAATAAATAAATAAATAAATAAATAAGTAAGCTTTATTTTTTTTTTATTAAAAATTTGTTTTAGTGTTCATTTTAAACATCCCTCTGGGGTAGGCGGGGCAGGGGCAGAGAGAGAGAGAGAATTCCAAGCAAGCTCTGTGGTGGTGAAGAGCCAGATGTGGCACTCAGTCTCATGAACTGTGAGATCATGACTTGAGCTGAAATCAAGAGTCAGATGCTTAACTGACTGAACCACTCGCCCCACATTTTTTTTTTTGGAGGGGTGCTCCTCCAATTCCACATTTTTTAAAAGTTTTTTTTAAAGTTATTTATTTATTTTTGAGAGAGAGAAAGAGAGAGCAAGCAGGGGAGGGGCAGAGAGAGGGAGAGAGAGAATCCCAGTCTCTGCACCATCAGCACAGAGTCCGATGTGGGGCTCAAACTCACAAACAGTGAGCTCATGACCTCAGCCGAAATCAAGAGTCAGATGCTTAGAGTCAGATGAGCCCACGCCAGGTGCTAATTCACATCTTAAAGGAACATGCAAGAATGTACTAGGGACCTGGGGTGCCATGCTGGCTCCGTTAGTTAAGAGTCTGACTTCAGCAGGTCATGATCAGGACCCAGTGATTTGAGCCCCGTGTTGGGCTCTGTGCTGACAGCTAGGAACCTGGAAGCAGCTTCAGATTCCATGTCTCCCATTCTTTCTGCCTCTCCCCAGCTAGCACTCTGTCTCTCTTTCTCTCTCTCAAAAATAAACATTAAAAAAAAAAAAATGTACTAAGGACCTGAATTGAAATGGATGGAAGTTCCCATTTGGTAGTTCTGAATTATATTATGTGGCTCTGTCCCCTCAGTTTTCAGAGGGTCTAAGGACTGGGACGATGGTGGGGGTGGGTCCAAAGAAGATATGCCTACTTTATATAGGCAAGCCCTAGGCCTCAGGACTACAGTGCTCCTCGAGGCCTTGGGAATGGGTAAATAAGTCTGATATCCTGCCTGCTTCAGCACCCACACAGACACAAATATCCATCCACAAATAAATATCCTTTCTTCCTGGGCTTTTCCTCTATCAAATAATGGTTGGTGGGCATTGCTTTGTATTACCTTGAAATTGTCATTAATCACTGGGAGCCAAATACTACTTCCATAAGATGGGAGTCTACATTTGTTGCCTTTACTTCCATACCTCTTGCTCACTCAACCCATTATAACCTTCCTTCCACTTCTCTAAAACTTTCCTGCAAAGATCACCCACAACTAGAGAATCAAGGTGGTGTTGTTTGAGCTTATCTTAATCATTCCCTGGAATCTGACACTATTGACCAATCCTCTTTTACTTCCTTTGCCACTATGACACCAGTTTTCCTTCTACATTTCTGACAGCTCCAGAACTCATCTTCAACTCCTCCCTTTCCTTTACCATCTTCCCCACATTCCAATGAATCATCAAGTCCTGTTGATTGTACACATTTCCCAATTCTGTCCTTTCTTCTCCATGCCCATGGTCTTTGTCTTGTAAGGTTGCTCTCCTGGTCAAGGGTCACAGGCTTTTGTTCTCTAGAGCCTTCTCCAATTTCTTCACATAGTAAATCGTCTACTGGAGTCAACTTTCTGAAACATACTCTTCCAGCCACCTCTAGGTTTGTGTAATTTATTACATTGTATCTTAAGCATCTGTTTATACAAGTCTGTGAACTTCACCAGTGAACTCCTTGAGGGCAGGAAATGATCTTATCCATTAGGACATTGGCTTGGGCAGGGTGGGAGTAAGATGCATTTCCTGAGACACTCAACAAACAACGAGGTAGCTTTTCCTCTGTATTCCCAAGGGTTCCTATCTAGCTGGTTCCCCAATCCCAGAGCACTTGCAGTAGCAACGGGGACCCTCTTTCCAAAACTGTAACAAACTCAGGATTCTCATCTCATCTCACCAAGGTCCCAGTCACCCAGCCTTCCCCTTTGATTCTCTGCATGCCTCGTTTAGGAAACGGATGCCCTGGAGGACTCTTGGGAGCTCTCTCCGCTAATTTTGCATATGCAATTAGTGGTAATTGCCCAGATGAAGAAAGGTGCCCTTCATTTTAGGGCTTCTTTCCTTCCATTCGTACTGGGCGAAGGAGCAGAGCGGGGAAAGTGAGAACCACTTTAGAAGGGAACCGGCTGCAAAAGAATGGCAGAGGCCGACGCACACCAGACGCCCGAGTGCGGTACTCGGTGCTAAGCTAGGGCTTCCCCTTTTCCCCACCTCCTTCGTTAAGCTCGACCCACTTTAGGGCGGGACCTCCCACTCAGCCAATTCTGGGAGACGAACCCTGGCGGTTTGTACTCTTCCTTTCCAATGAGAAAAAAAGGAAGCAGCTTGGCCCCAATAACCAATCCAAGGAGGCGGCGCCTGGTTGTCAGGCAGGTTTGTAAGAGTTTGGGCCAATTGGAGGCGCAGACACCGCTCGACCCGGGCGCAGCGCGCAGGCGGTGGCGAAGAGACGCCGAGCGGGCCGAGTGCGGCCGAGCAAAGCCGGAGCCGGAGCGGGGCCGCAGGAGCCGGGCTGGGTCCGGACGGGCCGAGATGCCCTATAAACTGAAGAAGGAGAAGGTGAGCGTGGCCCTTTTCTTCGCGCCTCCGCCTTGGGGCCTGCGCGGAGCACTGGGAGAGGCCGAGCCAGGCCCGGGACAGCCCCAGACTGACCCTCCCGTCCGGCCCCCGCAGGACTCCCGGGGCCAGCCCTCCGCCCCCGCCGCTAGCCGCACCCCCAGCCTGTGCCGCAGCTGGAAAAGCTCCCTCACCTTGCCTGGGATAGAGTCCCCCGCGTACACCTCCCTCCTTTCCTCCCCTCACCTACCCCCCGGCCCAGGGTAACCACCTCCCTCCAGATCTGCTCCACTCCCAGGTCACTCCCCTGCTTTTTCTTCCCGCCCCCACCCCACTCTCCCCACTCCCCACCCGGTTACCCGTTTGGGACAGCCCCTCATCTGAGACCGCACCTCCTTCCAGCCCACCTCCCCCCGCCCCCCATTGAGCTCAGCCCCTTCCCTTTTCTTACGCGCCGGGCCTGGGCCTGGGCCGGCCTTCTCCACCGTCCCCTACAGCCCCTTCTCCCTCCCCGCCAAGCACCTTGACCTAGAACTGCTCTGCTTTCTCTCTCCTCCACCAAATCTGGCCTAGGCCCCTCCCTCTAGTTCTTCCTTCACACACAAACTTGTAAGCCAGGACTGAGCCCTTCCTTCTGTTGATGGAACCTCAGAACGTCAATGTTGGAAGGGACCACTGAGCGCATTCAGCGTAATCCTTAGTGATACAGATGAGGAGACTGAGGCCCCGACAGGGGAAGGGACTTGGCCAAGGTCACACAGCCTGTTTGGAGGCCCAGCTGCAATATCAGGTCTCTTGACTTAAAGGCCTCCTTTGTACCAAAGCCCCCCTAACAGGCATCAACCGACTTGCAGTTTCATCCTAAATCAGTTACCTTTCCTAATCTGAGCAAGGTCCTCTCCTTTTCCTAATCTTAGGGTAACCTTTGCATTTTTCCAGTTTTGCAGTGCTGGATTCCTGCCTTTCCTGGGCTACACTATCCTCAAATTGGGAATCTGCCCTTACTATCAGATTAATTTTCCTTCTTACCCCAAAGGCCAGCCAACCCCTGGGCACCCTTGACTTTGTCATGGTGTCCTGATACAGGCTTGTTTCTTGATGTTGCCTTCTTTCACCTTCCTCTTCTATTTCCATATTGCCTTCTTGCCCCTGTTCTTCATCCCTGCCTTTCTCTACCTTCTATTTCCTGCTGTTGCTGAGGTCTGACTCAGAGGTGTGGTTCCTTTGAGGTACAGACTCACACAGAGGATGCTAGGATACCAGTTCCAGCCTCCCCCAGCTTCTCCTTTCCTGGGGCTGGCCCCTCGTGGTGGGGCTGGCTCTGGCCTGGTGCTCTGCTCAGCCACTTTATGACCCCAGAGGTGTCTTACTTTCATTTGCCCTCTGATTGGCTGGTTGCTGGGTTGCCATCTCTGACCTTATCAATTCAACTCTTTATCCTGGGGCTTTTGGAGATTTCCCAGGCAGCTCTGATTCTGGGTTGTCTCCATAACTTCACAGGGCCAGAGGTTCTGAGTGTAGGGTTGGTGATGGTGTACTAGGCACTGAACCTCCTGGGGTCCTGGGTTGGCAGGTTTGTGTTCCCCACCCAGGCCCTGTGTCCTTGGGGAGTGGGTCTGCTGAAGTGGTTTGGGCAGCTTAGCTGTGAATGATGCACACACAATTCAGCCACACCAGAGGCTAAGGGGGTTCCTTCAAGGAGCGTGGAGGGGCATGAAATTCAGGGGAAGCTGGTGAAGTCCCCACCCATCTGTAGTTTTTAGTCTGATACTAAAATGGGACAGACACTGTCCCATCTACAGTAAGCCATCCTCTTCTAGGTGATTGAGAAGAAAAATTCTTAGACTTGCTGGAACCATAGATATTTGACCATAGTATTTGGCTGGGAAACAACATTGGAAGAATTGGGTTGCACAGAACCAGGCATCTCTGATTCCTTTCAAGGTTTAACTTTCTGCTTTTGATTTCCAGTTGCATTTGGCCTCCTTCAATGGTTAACAAGCCCTGAGGGAGAGGTCGGTGACAGTGTGACTGAGCTTTGCCCAGATGGGGTGGGGACAGAGAGGAGGATCTTTATTGCACATCCATCACCTCTCTCCTTTCTCCTTCATCTCTGCTGGTCCCAGTCTTGGCCATCCTTCACAACCTTCTCCCTGAAGCCTTTCCTGAACCCTCACTTCCCAGTGAGCTCTCCCCTCCTCGGGATTTGTGGAACACTTGATAGGTCACGTATGGTCCTTTTTGCTCCCTTGGACTGGAATTAATTGTGGATAAGTCTTTTCTTCCCCCTTGAGATAATAACTCCATTTTGGTTTGGCCTCTTCCTTGCACACAGTAGGCCCTCAATAGATGGGTGCTGAGTCAGTCCCTTGGGGGATTTGCTTCCCTCCTCTTCCCTCATGTTCTGATCTAGGACTGAATCTCTTTTAGGTTCCCAGATGGCATGCCCCTGCTCCTTTCCACTTTCTTCTTGTTTTTAATAATAGTAATAACGGGCTAACATTGGGATTTTTATGTGCTGGACACTGTGCTAAAGGGAATTAGGTAGTGTGATTGTTGTCACTTAAAAGAGGAGGACTGAGGCTCAGAGAGGCTAGTTAACCTGCCTACAATTCCAGAGCTAGTAAGAGTTGGGCCCCAAACACAGTGTGGGCTCCAAACCCCGGTTCCAGGCCGCAAGTGACGGTTGGGCTGCACTGTGTTGTGTGCACTTGACCTGTTCTGCAGGAGCCGGGGAGCAAGAGTGGTGGGCGTGGTTTCCCCATGCCCCCACACACGCCCACATAACCAGGCAGCTGGGATTCTCACGGCACACTCCCTGTTAGGTATGCTTAAGTGCTGTAGGGCTGGCGGAGAAGGAGCTTGTGGTCAAGTAGAGAGATGTGACATGTATAAAGGTGGGTCAGCTTTGTCCATGAGGCCCACGTCCGAGGTATGTGCGGTCACCTCAGTGACTCCTGCCTGCGCCCCTCATCCTTTGCCTCTACACGCCATGCTCTGAGCCACACTCCCTGGCCCTTTGGCAAGGGGTCGGTATGCCTGCCAGCCTGGTCAGTGGGCAGCTGGGAGAGTGCTCAGCCCAAAGGAGCGCCTTCCTGCTGGCTGACACCTGGAGCTGCTCCCCACCTGGGAAAGGCTCTCATCCTCCCTGCCCCCTCCTCCAGCCCACGCAGAGCTCTGTTCTCCCAGAAATCCTTGTGCCCCCATAGTCAGTGTGACTTAACACTTGTCACTGAAGGGGCGCAGTTGCCATCAAGTGTCAGAATCTCAGAGCCGAAAGTGACTTCCAAGGTCCTCTGACAGTCTTCATTTAGGGCTCAAACCCCTCCTGCCCGTGCATTAGAAGAGTCATGAATGCTCCTTTGCTTGAATGCTCTCAGGACTGGGGAGCTTGCACACAGCCGGTTTCTGTGCAGCTGCTTCAGGAGAAGATCCTTCCTATTCGGAGCCTCAGCCTGTCTTCCTGCCACTTCAGCCCATGCCTCTTGGGCTCCTGGATCCACATAGAGCAAGTTGCATCTTTAGTCCACATGGCAGCCCTTCATTTATTCGTAAAACCCCCTCCTGCTCGCCTACCGCTGGGACTCCTCCCCTCCATCATTAGCCATCCCAGCCTTGCAGCTGTTGCTCTCAGGACAGGCTTTTGAATCTACTCCCAGTATGGGTTGTATTTCGCCAGAAGAAAACCTAGGATTTGTCTTTGTCCCTCCCAAAGTCGGATGCTCACGACGGAACCAGATCCTCCTGAACAGCTCCATCAAGTGCCAAGCACAGGGACACTTCCATGTCCCCTCCCCATGCCAAGAGCTCTGCACTCCGTTTGCTAACTGGACAGAAGGTCATGGGGTGCTGGGGCAACCCTGGCACATGAAGGATTTGTGTGGAGCTTGCAATCAGACCTAAATCCCCAAGTCTTTTTCACATTTTCCCCATCCTGTCCCTGTGCAGTTGCTTTTTTTGGCCTGAGGCAGAGGAAGAGACGCCAGGCAGGCCAGGGCTCTGAGCCAGCGGCCCGGTTCCCGAGGGAGACTTCGGACTAGCGCTCATCCTTGTAGCAGTTCAGGGTCTTACCCCCATCCCTGTCCCCGTGCTTGTCCACCAAGGCACTCTTAGGGATAATTCCTATACCTGATCATGCCAATATCACCCTCTAGTCTGGATGTTATTTGTAATTTACAAAAAAAGGCCTCCAGGTCTTTACAGATGGCCTTGGGGGAGAGTGGTGACTCTGTCTCCTCCAGCATGAGAACCTTAGGCACCCCCCCTGCCCGCTCTAGCCAGAAGCCAGACAGAATAGCTTGTTCCTTAAAGCTCCACACCCTGGTTCTTCCTTGACAGAGGCTCTCCGGGGCCCTTACTCATACAGCAGCCATGTGAGGGGACGGATCATTATTATCATGCTTCATTACTATGTCTTAGCAATGTCTTCCTCACCACATTCCAAACTCTTTGGAGGGACTCCCTTTGTGTATCCCAAGTCCTCCTCCCCTGGGCTAGGTACAGGGTAGATGCTCAGTGGTTCTGACTGATTACTTCCGTTGGACAGAGGATAATTACAACACAGACCTAAGCAGTCCAGATGAGGCCTCTCCCTTCTCCTGGCATCTGCTGACTACCTCCATCTTCCCCCTTCAGGAGACCCCCAAGCTTGCCAAAGGCACGACCAAGCCCAGCAGCTCGGGCAAGGATGGTGGCGGCGAGAGCGCCGAGGAGGTAATGAAAGTGGGCACGGCTCTAGTTACGGTGCAGGCACCAGCTTGAACTGCTCGACGGCTAGTGGGGTGAGGGATCCCAGGGGGCCAGATGTGATCCAGGCAGAAGGGAAGGGGCCTTCCACAGCCTGGGAGGAGCTTGGACAGCCCAGCCAGGTAGCTGCCTTCAGTCAGGCAGCCTGCCCCTTCGGCTGGTATAGAGCAACTACGCTCTGCAGTTCTTCAGACTCCCCAGCAATTCTTGTGAAAGTTATTTCTCTGTCTGCCAACCTTGCGTGGTAAGAATTCCTTTTTCCTTAGAATGAAAAGCTAGGGGTAGCAGGTGCTGGGGGGGAAGGGAAAAAGTACAAGGGTGCTCAGTGGGGAATGAGTGGCTTTGGCATGGCTTGGGGTGGGGAAGGGGTGGGAGTGGCTGGTGTCCTTGAGCCGGCCAGGGCTGGGCCCACTGCCCTTGGTTCTGATCCAATGGGAACCTGCTAAAGGACAGTGATGAGCAGAGGTCAGCACAGCTTGGAAGTCTAGGGCTGTAAAGCAATAAATGGCAAGCAGAGAGAGCACTGGAGGGTGGAGAGACTTAAGTCCAGAGTATGTCCAGGAGAGTTTGGGAGTGTGCTCAATGCGATGCTCAAGATGGTGGCCAGTCCTGTGAACATGTTGAGCAAGTAAGTACCCATCTTACTCAGAAACTGGTGATCCTTGGTTTCTCTGCTTTTTTGTTTGTTTGTTTGTTTGTTTATTTTGAGAGGGAGAGAGCGTGAGCGTGTGAGTGAGCGGGGGAGGGGCAGAGAGAGAGAGAGGGGGGGAGAGAGAATCCCAAGCAGG